ATTATAGATACTTCTAATAATAATCAGTTAAATTATAGTTTTACAAAAGTACTTACCTATTATTAAATTATAAATATAGGAATTCCTTTTTATTTAGAAGTAATCAAATTTACATATGTACATCATGTTTCATCACCGAGTGGTTTACCAAACGTTGAGTATAAATGACTCAATGCAATAGATGCCATGTGAATACATGAAATTACAATCGGATTGAATGATAAGACTCCATTGTGCTTTCTCTTAAAGCCCTAAAATATTATAAATAGTAAATCTTTGAACGTTTTTAACTCAAATCTGAAATTTTACATATACATATGTTTAAATAAAAAATATAAATTTAAAAAGTCTTAGTATTCAACTTTCTGCGATACTTTCATTTCATGCTTATTGTATGAATTATCACAAAACTCGGTTTTTAGTTTCAGAACAAAACTAAGTAATTATTATATATATTGAGCAAATATTTTTTTTTATATTATACTTAAACTTTTAGTAGGTATGTAGAAGATAAAGCTATAAAAGTTTCAAGCAACATTTGAGAGACCCCTGTTCTAATAGTAAGACAAGGCAGCACTTTACATCACTGCACTTGTTCTTATTTTACAAAGTATAGAATGTCCCCGCTTGGAGTACTATTCTCAACTTTGCCTTGAGGTCACTCAATTTGCTACATCAACTTAAATTGATACAGTTAAAAAGAATTTAAATTAAAATCAGTTCTCCTGAATTTAGACTTGTTTTGACTCAATTTAAATTGTCGTCCTTCAACGAGGAATCTTCAAAAGTATTAATTATTTATAATAGCGCCAATCTATTAATTTGGGATATATGGTTTAAAAACAAATTTCTCGCAGAAATTTAAGGCCGGCACCTCATTCACAATTACTCTTACATATATTGAAGATTTCTATAGGCAACTTAAGACACTTGACAAAAAAATGAACGCTGTATGTATGCTATCATCTTCACATAACAAATAATATGCTTTATTTTTATTACAAATACTAATTATGTATATAAAAAATTATATAACAAATATGTTTATCAGTGTTTTGTGTATTTTAAAGACATGTATTTCAATAACGATTCTTAAGGCTATACCTTATACTTTTTTTTTATTAAAATCAATTACTTGCAGCAGTAACATTTTCTTACAATCCAAAAATATAAAGTTTTAGGTTTAACATTAATAGAAGTGCAAAACGATCCATAGAGTTTTGTAACTAAAATATTTTTTTCTTAGGTTCTCAAAGTGCAACATTGGTCATAAACTCATTATAGGAATTGAATCGTGCCATTAAAGTAACAGAAAATAAATATATTTATATAAGAACATATGCAGTGAGCTTCTGATAGGCTGATAGGCAAGAACATAACATTTACAAATAAAATTCTATTTTAAAAAATATTTAAATAAAATTTTAATCAAAATTTTAACACTCTTCTTTTTTCCTTTAATAACATACTTGTCCGGTTCATGAAAGATAACTAAATGCCGGTCATCATTGAAAAAAAAAATTATAATACAAAACAATTACAATTTTGTTCAATTTTAAATTTATACCTTCTAGTGTAAGAAGAATACTGTATATCGTAAATGCAATATTGAAAGTAAACGACACAAGTAACAAAAATAACAAAAAGTTATCTGAGGTATTGAAATCCTTTAAAACATCACATGTTTCAACGAAGGACTTTTTGATTTGACTGATCCTCTGCGCTGTTAACTGCCTTTTAAACTGTTGTCATCTAAAAAAATAATAAATATGTGTCAAATATATAACATAAAACTTAATTATGTATTAATGAGACAATATTCGTATTAACGTACTCTGAGGTGTGTTATCGACTGCACCGTTCCTATCAATGGCAGCATTGATTGATTCCAAAGTTATATTTCAATCCCTGAAACAGAAATTATAATGTTTTTAGTGAACGTAAATTCTTTTGATGCTAACTTTAAAGTCCATGAAATTAACAATACAATACTTAATATATAAATTGTTTGTTTGAAATATAACGATCAAGTAAAAACTAACAATCCACTGTCAGTCAGTCAGTGTAAATTGAATAATGATGCCATAATAAATGGTTACACATTATAACAAAAATCTCATTAACGGGAACATCATCAAACATTGCGAGAATGCCTCAAAAACATGTGTCCAGATGAAATTGCCATCCTAATTTTGGCATTTCTTTACCAGTGCTTAAGCATCTTATTGTCTGAAATTAGTTTTGATATATTAATAGATAGTCATTTAACAATTCTTGAAAGTAAATACCATACCTTATATATTTTACTTTCATACATCAGATAGTCTTTAATCCTCACTTCAGTCTTGAAAGCTCCATAAAGAAATATTGTCATATTTAACATTGTTTGAACGCTATAAAATAAGTATATTCTTTGGTAAACACTGTCCGTGCTAATTGTTAGGAAATAGTAAACCCTGTATGACAGAAACAGTCCTTAAAATGTAAATACTAATTAGTATTATATATTGAAAATTAATAAATAAGATAAAATAGACCATTTATAATTCCTTATTTGTATATTATTTCCAAAGTTTTAATTACACATGAAAGTATTTGTATATGGTTTAATGTCCTTGTAGTGTTTTATTGAAATAATTTTATGTATCAATAATATGTTTTTGTTTTTGTTTTTAACCTTAAATATGCAGCATTTAAATAAAATAATTTATTCTATTACAAATATTTATTATGCTTTACTGATCGTTATAGATGTCCAAAGATTTTATCACTTCATTTTTAAAATACATTGCCTCATAATATTATATGTATTTGTGCATAATATAATACTCGTCTTTACTAAAATTAATGTGACTATACATAGTAAATGTATACAGTATCCTTTGAATAAGAACAGGTTTCCAATGATCATACTAAACACCACCAAGGATTCATTTTGTGACTTGAAAAATATTTTAATAACAGTATTAACTAACCAATTATTGTAACGGCGATGATATTAAAAATTTTGAAACAACGTGGAAAGTAGCAACCAGTTCCATTTGATGAAAAACGTATCGGAGCAAAACAGCCAAGTCTTGTACTCGTAGTATGAATTGCCTTGAATCACTCAGTATCAAGCTGCGTGGTAATTTCATTTTCTGTAATTAGATATGGGAAACAGGATTTAAAGTTTTATATAAACCTAATAAAATATAGTTGCCAAAATATAAATAACTGAAAAATTTATTTAATAAAAAAATAGAACACACATCAATTGTCATTTCAAGATCACGTAATCATAGGACAAAAATAAGTTGCATCATTTTGAAAAAGTGCTCCTGCGTTTGATCGATATTAGCCAAATATAGATAAGAACTACTGCAAAGTAATTGGCTTTCAGATTAAAAAAAAACATCGAAATTGGATGATCCCTTTGAGAGCTACCATTCCACAAACAGACACACACGCAGCATCTACATACATCAATCTTATAACACCCCGCTTGTTGGGTCGGAGATTACATAACGAATATCATTTTTATAGTTTCAGACCATTTTCACTAAATTATGATATGATCGCGTCTTATTACTCAAACTTTCTTTTACACGTTTAATACGTTTAATACGCGTTAAATAAGTGACCAGTACTCATTAACGATCCGTGGACAATGTCTAGTCTTAGACCCAGTTTCACCAATCATTGTTAAATAAGTAACATCTTGTTAAAGCGTTTGATGCTCTGTTAGATGTATCGAGCGTCCCACCACGCACAAATGTCCGTTCAAATGTCTTAACCAGCCACTAATATTAATTCCTGCTCTGAAGCTCCGTCTAATGGCTAACCGAATGTTAATGCATTGTCAAAACTCAATTGTCCAATCACAGCCCTGATTTCTTGTAACCATAGTAACGTCATCTGTTTTGTCAGTTTCGACTATTTCCTTGTTATTATTAACAAAGTGAATTAAAATTTCATTTAGTATGATGATTTTGCCTTCAGATTTTCTATGACATTGCAAAATTAAATTTGCTTTTTCTCTCTTATAATTGGAACACAATTTATGGCTATATTTATAACAGAATAATATATATTACAATTTATTGACAGCACGATTTTGATAAGTTATACCTAGTAAATTGAAAAGAAAGCTTTTTGTGTGCCAAATGTATGCAATCAACGATATATAAAATTTGGTCGCATTAGCTAGCAAGTGACGTATCGAGGAATATATACGATCAAAGTATAAAGTGGTGCATCGTGGCAAACGTGCCGTATAAAACGCTATAGTTTACATTTGCTCATCTTATAACAAGAACGAATAATTTGGAAGTCGGTCATTTAATGTGATGTTTAATAATTTAGATATTTTAACAGACATTTATAGTTTTGAAGGTTTGTTAGGAAATGCCTTGTTTAGATTTAATAAACATTGATTGGTGAAACTGGGTCTAAAGATCAATCACGCCTGACCAAATATGTATAAGATTAATACTCATATATAATCACGTCTTACTTACAGGTTATTTTATGAAGGATGATTATATCTTAAAATAATATATAAACATTTCCATCACACAGACAGAAAGGTATCACTCTGAGAATTTTTCTTTAAGCATATATAGTCCATTTCAATAGAAGTTGGCAATTTTGTAAATAAAGCATATAACTAAGATTGCTCCGTTCTTACTTACAATGGAATATCAGTCCTGATAATAATTACATCTCAATGAACCCGCCACTGTTTTTAACAATCTATTCATCATTAAACAGCTGTATATATATAACATAGTTATATGACCAAGGTCTACTCGTATGACTTACCAGGTCGTCTTAAAGGCAGTGTGTGTGTATGTCTGTCAACATTATAGTAGGCGCTGTTATTTTCCGCGTTTACCCTCACTGGGGGTGACCTTCTGTCACAGAAGGGCTCTAGTCCCGGCGTCTGAGACAGGTTGAGAGGGTTCCGGCTCGAGGTTGTGTATATCGATGGAGTGTAGAGTTCCGGTGGCATCAGCTGTTCAACTGGCAGCTTAAAAGATCATACATATGTATATATCCTACTAATATTATAATTGCGAAAGTTTGTGAGTGTGGGTGTATGTTTGTTACTTCTTCACGCTCAAACGGCTGAACCGATTTTGATAAAATTTTGTATACAGGAAGCTGACGTCCAGGCACATATAGGCTACTTTACATCCCGGAAATCCTGTAAAAAAAACTATTATTTTGGAGTAAGAAGCAGTTTTTTAATGGACTAAATGTTTTTAATTTATATTGGACTAAATGGATTATTTTATATGAAAAGTAAATTGAAACATTTGAAATACAAAATATAAATAATATAAAAAGACTAAATCCAATCATCATCTAAATATTCATAAATACTTAAAAACTTTCGAGATAATTAAAAAAGTACTGAACAGGATAATATATTTCTTAAGATAGATTATAACTTACCAAGCCGCTAGTATTTAGCGGTAAGGAATTCTTGTACTTCAGCCAATTCTCGTAAACCTTATCGTAAGGCCGGCATTCGTTTGGTCCAATATTTGGCATATGCATTCCAATCCCTGGCACAGGTTGGCCCACGTTGGCCATTTGTAAGCCATGCTGATATTGGTGTACTCGGAAGTCTAATGGTCGGACTTGAACATATTGGCTACACGGATCGCCGTGATTGTAATGCCGATCGCTCGGATTATGATCGTATTTGTCGACCGATTTTGATAACAACGGTCTAATAGAACTGTAATCGGTCGCGGAGGATTTGTTTGAACAGTTATCGCTTATTTTTACCTCGATCGGTATTATGTCTGGGTTTTTATCTATGGAAATTATAATGCTTATATTATAGTATATGAAATGGATGGAAATTCTAATGGTTTCTTTATACGTACCCAAGCTATCGACGCTCTCACACTCGTTAGTACCGGTTAATGGTATATTTGATATCTCATCCTGTTTTCGATTTGTCTTATCATTTTTGTCTGTACATAAAAAAATACGACTGAACAGTAATCAATTAATGCAATCCACTTCTTTAAACTAAGTTATCTATGTTGGTAATATAATTTCTATTAATTTTTTATTCATTTTATTAAATCTTGATTAAATGCATACAATATATGTCTGATGAAATACAATAAAATCGAACATGTATAGGTATACATTTATTTTATTCATAATATATTTATTCATAATATAAATATTTCATTTATTTTATTCATAATGTTAACATTTTTGAAAGTATCACAGAAAAACCATTTATTTGTTATTGTCATTAAAATCTAACTAAACTATGTATATTAAAAATGTAATATACGTATTTTATGAAAGAACCTTAAAATTTAATTCTCTCTTCTTACATCCTACCCTTAATTATAATAAATAATTAAAAAGACGCACTTTTTAATATTAATAATACAATTACCAACAAACAACTCAAGCTTACAACCAAACTAATACAACTCACCATCTTTATTACAGTATTTCCAACAGAAAATGACAGCAGATATTGCTGTAAGTATTGCTATAACAGCGACAGCCACCAGCACGCTCACCAATACAGTTGTTAGTTACATACATACACGGACCGGGACGTTGGCTAGAAGCGAATTAACAAACAGACTGCTTTAAAACTTAACTAATAATATACTTGTGAACTAATAAGACCTTTACAAGTCGTAGCGTTTGGGTGATAGAGATATTTACTTCATTATTACAAACGTTGGTGTAAGTATGAAATATATGGCCTTTTTTCGCTATAATAAATTTGAGGTTAGGTACAAAAAAAAAAATGATTTCATAGTAATATTTAAAACAAAACAGAATGAAAGTATATGTAAAATATTTCACCAGTATAATGGATATGTTTATCGTACATTGGCATAATAATATAGGTAAAAATGTGGACTAGTTATAATCCTTGGATATGTTTATGGGAGGTTTTAATGACCTAGTTTTAATAAATCGATTCATAATTTATGTACATAATATCTCTAAATAATATGTATTAAAATAAAAGGACAATATGCAATTTTTTTCATGTATTTGATTTGAATGTTATTTTCACTTTAATTTTATTTTCAAATTACAACGAAGCAAATTAAATATTTAAATAGCTTTTCATCTCATTCCTAGAAATAATTTTCCAAACCTCCATAAAAATTCATATATTTTTTAATACAAACTTATAAATGTACCGAAAATAAATTCGGATGTAAATATAAAATTATTGCACAGCAAATTTACCTATTAATAAAATTATCATACTAATCGTTCTAACAGCTGAGATAACTTGAATAAATCAAAGTAACGCTCGCATTACATGTAACGATAACCCGTTTATCGCTGAGGGGTGTTGTGAAACCGTCTCGTACCCACGAGGTCATTTCGACCCTTTAATGGTCTATGAATATTTTTTCCATCCATTCAAGTATAAATTTTCATATAACTCACAGATTTTAACTTGTATCTATACTAATATTATAAAGCTGAAGAGTTTGTTTGTTTGAAAGCGCTAATCTCCGAAACTACTGGTTCGAATTGAATAATTCTTTTTGTGTTGGATAGTCCAGTTATCGAGGAAGGCTGTGGGCTATATAACATCACGCTACGACCAATAGGAGCAAAGATATAGTGGTAAATGTGTAAAACCGGGAGAAATTATTTCATCTTTGAAGCCTTCCGTTGCGTGCGCCGTGAAAACGGTTCAAGATACACAAAAAATATGTATCAAAGAATAACTCACAAAAACCGTTTTTATGGTACCTAATTTAGTCGAAATAATTTGTTTAAGTTGTATCAACATAATAATATTAATCTTTATTCAAATAAATAAATAAATATGTTGCTAGTACATATATAATAATAATACATTTGAAGCTATGCTTACTGGTCTATTGTCTTCATGTATATTCGTAGTAATACGAGTTTGAACCGTCAAATACGAATAAATTCTAGTTTTTTATTAATTAAACTTAGAACACTAATATTGATGTAAGTTTATGAGTAAATACTACTACTATATATGTGAGTAGTTTGACGAAACAAACTCGTCTTAAGAGTGAAGTTACATTCTTTACTAGATAATAGAAATTTACATCACATTCTTGATCAAAAATTAAAATTAAGTACATACTGACCTGTATGTCGTTGTGGATGTGTTAATAAGTTTGAAGTAAGCGTAAAGGGCTCGCTTAAGCCTTTCTTATTGAAGGCTCTAACGGATATACCAACTGCTGTACTTCCCGATAGACCCCACACTATGAATTGAGGTTCCTCGCTTGTTATATTACGAAGTAAAATACCAGTTGATATGTCATATACCTATGAACACAAACACAAACAATACAAACACGTTTATGTGTATTATACAAGAAATATTAAACATTGCTTCATTTTTTTTGTCTTAGATATTGATACTCAGTCATCATTTATGTAAGCTTGTATGATTGTATATTTTCTTGGAAAAGTAATAGAGTCTTTAATATGGAATTTTTGTTTGTTTTTATTGAATTATATATTAAAATTTATTCTCACTTGTAATAGAAACGATTGTTTCATGCCTCCGTCGTGTCCTCGTGAACATCCAAGCGTTAGAGAGTTATACGTCATGTTTGTGATTTCACAGTTTTTCACCGATGATGGTTTTTCTATAGAAGAAAATGATTATATAGAGGAAAATTCTTTAAGCATAATTCTTGGAAGCTTCTAATGTCACTCATTTGATGAAATAGGATCTATGTTTTTTAATAATAAAAAACTGTAACAAATTTTCGTTGCTAAAATTAATTTTAAATAAAAATTATTTATAAAATAAATAATTTTGAAGAATAATATTTAAGGTAGTGAACTTAACGATAAATAAATTCTGTTAAGTTTTTAAATACAAATTAACATAAAATACGAATAATCACGTCCGAAGAGACAGTTTTACATATTTAAACTAGTGAATTTTACATAAAAAGTAGTAAACGTGTATCTTGGCGTAAAACTTAAGATACACTTAATTGGTGTCCAACTGTGAGACAAACTGCACGGGAGGAAAGATCTTAATTACATTTCGTACAGAATCTCAGAAAAATAAGTCGAGCGGATTTTATTCAAGAATTTTATTATCTATTTTTAAGATAATTACTAAGCTCTTAAGGAAATTGTAGCTTCTTTATTCAAACCGAATAATCTGATTATACGATTTAAAATATGAAATGTTTTTTGTCAAAATCTTTTAAGAAAATAAACTGAAAAGGGTTTCCAAAGAAAAATATTGGGCAGCGAAAGATTGGTCCATTATGATGTGATTAAAAAAATAACTTAGATTTGTGATAGAAAATTGGCTTTATATACATAAAAAAAGAATTTAATTTTTAGGTGTTTGCTATACTCTGTGTGATTATTTTAGGTGAACAGTTGGTGAAGCCTTCAACCCTTGATCCGATTTCCTTCAAAAAATGTTATTGTCTTGAAAATACCTAGCCGAAATCAACGCAAGTGGAGTCACATTAAATTCTAGTATTAAAAAAAAATCTATATTTACCAGCGGGTAGTATGTGAAACAGGCAAGGAGTGTTCTGTCTTCCTACAGAATTCGTACCAGTGCATTGAACCCAGCCGTAGTCAGATGAAGTGTTAACTGTATACAAATATCTACCTGTGGAGATATGCATTTATAAGCTAAATATTACCTTAAAATAGATATAGAATTAAATTTACTGTATCATAAATTTTGCTGTATTAAGTTTCAAAATTTATTACTTAACGAAAATAGTTCTTGTTTCAATCAAATTACTTTGCCAATTAATCCTAAATAATATTTTAAAAAAACATTAATTAAAGTTTAGATGTGTTGTTGAGATATACATATATTGCATTAAGAGTTATTTTTACATAATATATAGAATTAAATTACTTATTTATTTATTGTATATAAATTGCTTATTAAATGAAATATAAGAAAATATAAGAATTTATTCGAATCACTAATTACGTATCTAAAATTAAAACTTACCAAGATTATTCTGTGAATTTGTTGAAAACGCATTGAGTTCTAATTTAGTTTGTGTACTGCTATTAAACCACCATTGATATGTCATCGGTTCCTGTGAACAGAAATTATATCTAATATAAATTGTCACCTTATAAAAAAAAGCCGATTATACAGATATAAACACTGTATATCTATGCCGAATAGAATAACATAGTGCCTATCTGATACTGCATCTAAAATGTTTATCTCCCAAATATGATTGAAGAGATTTGAGAGAAGAGATTTAAGAGATCTTTTAGATGTCCTACAGAAGGAAATATTTCTTGAAAAGAAAGCTAGTTATTGTACGTACGTACGTACTCGTAGGTGGATATACCAAACTTTTACCAAGTTTAGAAATAAGGCCCCATTTACATGGAGAAAGTTTTAAAGATTTTACGACTTTAATCTGCAAGACAACATTTGAAAAATACCTTTATTAGAAAAGGATTTTAATATCGCTATGAAGTCTGTAATAAAAGATTTAAATTTTTAAATAAATTTGCGTAGTTTTAATAACATCAGAATAAATATTTATAACTATCTTTAGTTTTATGTTTTTATATTAATAGATATGTTTAAATAAAATTTTATTATAGTACTAGCTTTACGCCCGCAGCTTCGCCAACGTGGAGTTCGGTTATATTGCGTTTCCAAGAGAACCTTTCAAAAGTCTGGGATAAAAACTATCCTATCTTTCTCGAGGTCTACTCTATCTCCGTACCAAATTTCATTAAAATCAGTTCAGTGCGTGAAAGCGTAACAGACAGACAGAGTTACTTTCGCATTTATAATATTAAGTAGGGATAGTCACTACAAGTACCAATGTGATTTTTCCGAATCATATGTACTTTCTAAGAGTATTTAGACATCACTGATTAATGTTGATTCCCAAAAGAGGGTTGATGTCAGGCAGGCGGCCGGTCGTAAAAACAAATAGCCAAAAACTATTCACAACATGTAAGGCAGACCCTGGCTATAGCTGGGAAATTGCCAGGTAGAAGAAGAAGAAGAGTCACTACAAGTGTTATTTCTTTATCTAAACTAAACTATTTATGTAAATTTTAAAACATTGTTTAAAAATCCACCAAGACTTTTATCTTATCCTTATTCAGTGTTATATCAAAAAAATACTATTAGGACTAAGCGCAACTAAGCCCTATTCTAATATTTGTTCAAAGTTAAACGCAAAAAAATATATAATCCGTTGCATAAAACTTAAATTTTATTTAAAGATAACTATATCGGCCAAAAACACAAACGACATATGTGTTATATAAACATATATAACACATAGAAGTCATGAATAAAAAAGCAATTAATTCAAACCCGAAACTTTTGTTGAATAATGGTTTATACAGACCATAAATATGAGGCCTAATTAGGCTTCAATAAAATCATGATCAAACAAATTTAGTATTGTTTTAATAATTAAACTGTTCTGTTTTAGTATTGATGACTGGATAAAATGGTGAAATTTATATACGAAAAGCTTTTGCGAGCTCTAATAATTCATTGTATGGATGTCAAATTAATATCACACGCAATAAACAATTAATTTGTACCGTTTGGTTGTTCACAAAAAACTAGAAGCGTTAATGTAGATACATTCTTAATACAATGAAAACATTACAACGAAAAAGGGATTAACGATCGCGTAAAAAGATTAAAATTTATCCTTTTATACAATAAAAACACAAAAATAGATTCGTAATATAAATAGGAAATGTTAAAAAAAAATATATATTTGTTTATGTTCCAACAAAACCATAAAAGAAATGTGATGTACAAAGATAAGTTATCTTTTAAAAGAGATCAAGGTCAAACCCTTTTAAAGGTATCAAGTGCAGAAATTGCGGTGTAGGTACGTGTAAAAAAGGGAAGAAAAAGAATGGGAAATACATAAATAAATATTTAATTACTTGTTTATATATATTTATTGGGGAGTAGTAGAAAATATTACATACATATCAGAGATAAGAGTGACAGAAGATATTTATCTTTTTTATAATTTGTTTAGCTTTCCGTCTAAAGCAAAAATCTAATTAGATAATCATTTTGCTACAAAAGCAATATGTAAATAATTTTGCACTCACCAGTACTGGTTTATGAATTAAAATCATTTGTTTTTTATATATATAAGAAAAATCCGATATATATATATATATACATATATATTTGTATACATGTTTTCCTTTTTTAATATTTACTTCTCAAATAAGTAATGAATAGACCAGTGCCGATAGCTTTTTAAAACAATTAAATTATAGAAGAATGAAACTCATTAGAAAAGCAAGGGAATATTATAAAAATTAAAGGAAAAATAATTTACGGGCGATCTGAGGTCGGGAAGGGTACGGGGATGGGTATTTAAGGGTAAAAAATGGGTTTTCTCGATTTCCGGCAAAACTAAAAGTCCTAGGAAAAATGTTATATGGCAAAGTTGTAGGTAATAAAAAGTCCTAAAACTTTTATACTTACTTTTTTTTCACATAACCTAAAAAATTAAGTGAAAAATTCCAAAAACCGAGTTTTTGGTTTTTTATTTTTATCTCTTACAAAAAACAATATTTCGTTCGAAATTTGGTGAAAACTTTCCTTTTGATGTTACAAATACTCTGTAATTTATTTGATTAGAAATATTGATTTTTTCAGCTTATTTTGAATAAATATCGAAAAATCAGTCTCATTTTCAATCGAATAATCATGTCTCTTTTAATGAAATGACACTCGACATCGTTTTGAAAATGCTCTTTCTAATTTATTTTTAATTAGATATTTATTTATGTATCTACATTATTAGATAGATTATAGATAGATATATTAGATTATGTATTTATGTATCTAGTATTTGTTTCATAATTTTCTTAACTAAAGAGACATTGGTTCATCAAAAACTGTTAATGAATTATAAATACTAAAATGTAAATCTCTTTTGATCCACAGTGGATTAAAAGTAAACATTCAGTTTATTTCATTCAAGTTAAAAAGTCCTCGAAACAAATCCCACGATACAATATATAAGTATACGATTTGTCTGAATACGTTTTATGCGAACAAAATATTACAAAAAAGTTCTGAGAAAATGTTAAAATATATATATTTTTTTCAAAGGACTGTTTATTCAAACTCAATCTACAACGAATGAATATTTTAAGAAAACGCCAAAAGTATTTTTTTTTTTCTCCTAACAGAACGATAAATAAATATTCACAAATTAATGTTTAAGGAAAAACATTTTACAATCTGATATTTATTTTCGATCACACTGAAATAATGTCAATGCTTTCATATTTCTATAATAACAAATATAATTTATTCAGTGCCATACTAAAATTGTTACGTACAATACAAAAATACGCATTCGGGAATTCAGTTATAATTATCGCAAAGTTATATTATTGATATTTTGTATAATAAGATCTAATACTTTCGCTAGAATTCATTTAAATCGTCATCAGCCATCAGAGCCCACTGCTGAGCAAAGGCCTCTTTCTCACATGGAGAAGGTTTGAACATTAATCACCACGCTTGCTCAAGACGGGTTGGTGATTTTAACTTATAATTTGTGAAATTATTAAGTCCAGGTTTCCTCATGATGTTTTCCTTCACCGTCTTTCAGTGGTGTCCAAATACTTTTAGAAAGTACATATGACTGAAATATACATTGGTACTTGCCAGGATTGAACCCGCGAATTTGGGCACGAGAGACGGGCCTTTAAACCTAGTGGTGGCCACCACGGACTATTCACTTAATTAAACCTAACATATTATTCGGATTACTACGAGTATTTTATTATTTTAAATACATACTCCAGACGTTTCGGTTACTTTGCAGTAACCATGGTCGCGTGATTTTGTTGTGTTATAGTGATAATACGTACCATGGAATTGGCGTCAATTTCACACATAATATGGACGACCTCACCACGAGCTGCTCTGATGATAGTGGCTTGATGAGACTTACATGTAGGAGGATCTATTGTAGAGATTAAAGCAAAAAAATCTTTTATTTCAAGATCTCATAGATACTTACGAGATTATCGATTTTGAAAGCGATAATGAAAAAAAAATAGGATTTCAAAATTTTTATTGTATACTTAAAGAATATGTTTAATTTGTCTGAACCTAAGACTCATAAGAACAAATAATATTTGTACTCAACATTACAGAAAAAATCGGTTTATAAAAATAAAAAAAAAACTTTTCGTCACATAGATGATCATGATATCTTAGTTGTATTACCTAAATTTATATAGAGAGATACAAAGGTACATAAATCAATTTGTGTTCCAAAGCACATGAAAATTTCACTTCCATTACTTACATTTCACTTCTAAAACCAATGGGTCACTGTAACCTTCTCCAAGCGAATTTCTTGCGACACAAACATAACCGCCCGTGGCTTTTCTTGACATACGCTGAAGAACTAGGCTTTGATTGGCTAAAACAACTCCTGGACCGGGTTTTATTATTGCACCCTACAAAAATATTATCCTATTACTTATAAGGTCTAAAAGACTTTATCAGTTTATTTACATGCTCAATTTAAGAGCACTTTTTATCTAAATACAAAATTCTATTTATAATAGAATATTTCTTCAATTATTTTAATTTTTAACTATTACCAAAAAGAGATTTTAACATTGAAATAAATTCTATACAAATAAAAAATAGTCGGGTTCTAAATACGTATTTTATACTTTTATCTTTGTATTAATATCAGTCTCTTATAATTGGAAGAACCTTCGAAATTGTTTAAAAAGTTAAATTAAGTAAGAAATAAAGTAAAAATTAATTTTTACTTTAAGTTTGGTATAAAGGTTCTAAAACATTTAAAATTGTTTTTAATTTATTTTAAAGACATCGATAGATTAGATTAGATAGATAGATTTGAATATATAACATTAAAATATATTATATATATAAAAATCGTGATTATTTTTCAATTAATATATGTATGAATATTACAAATAAATATTCCCTTTATATATTTTGTACTGTAAATGGAATAAAAACCAGTATCGAATTTCAGCGAAGTGTAAAAATTACTGATTAAGTTAAATTAAAAAGAAATACCCCAAATAAAATTCCGTGTAATTAATGTATACTTACATTATGAGTGAAATACACATGACTGTGCCACGGGTTTGCTCGGACCATACAATCTAAATACACATCAGAACCTTCTATCATTTTATCTGCGTCTAAGTTAGCACCTAGTTCCAATTTGACCACAGGCAAATCTGTAAAATGTTTTATCATTTAAAAACTTCTAAGTGTAATGAAAAAAAAATAAAATTGTTATATTAGTACATACTAAATTACATCACGTCATATTAAAATTAAGAGTAGTGACAAGTATTTTATCAATAATTTCAGTCATACTTGGTACCGTGACTTGAAAAAATAATGCTAATAATTCATTCAAACAAATACATGGGAAACAATGTATTGTAGCTTTAAAATCTCTAATTATCTTACGTTGTATTTCTAGTTTCCATCCATCTTCGTGAATAGAGTGTGGTAAACGTGGTTGTATGGCTCTGCACGATAAAAACCCGTCCAGCATCATCAATTGAGGGTACAAAAGTCAGAATACTGCTGGTGACATTTCCATCAGATGAAATCTGGCCGGAGAAAAGTAAAGTCAAATAATTCCATCAAACTTATTAAAATGTAGACCAATTGTATAATATCGACATTCTTTAAATATTCCGTAAAACATATAATATCAAAATGAGATTAAATTAAAGAGCCACAACAGAAACAATTGCCATATTCACAACCTCGAAATTTGAACACACGTATCATCACTCCAAAGATTTGGAAAAAAAATTGTTACAGAAAAATGTGCAAATGCATCCGTGTTACTTCCAATCCAAATAGTTTACAATCTCAACAGAATTCTAGTTAACTTTGGACTTTTTGAATTTTTAAACTGCAACACTTTACATTCCGTTTGAAAATTTCAAAGTCTATCAACAATAACATTTTGTATGCACAAATTTCTCACTACGTCAATTTAGAACTTCATATAGAATAATTTTATTATTGTAAACTTAAAAATATGAGAGAAAAGCTACTTGCAATAATAGTATCATAGCCCTATAGTTATACTTTATATAATTAAAATTGGGCCTCATTTTGATATAAAAAATTAATATAATTCAAATAAGACAATTCTTAAGCATTTTCTTAGTTTAATTAAGTACCACAATTCAAACATCAGAAAAACAATACGTCAGTAATTTAAAAAATTATAATTACCATCGCAAATGAATTAATTTCACTTATTCCAGATACAAGCATGAAAGTAATTCGTAATATCGACGGATAAAGTTTAATAAGAAGAGACGAAATATAAAAACACTCAATATTATACTGTTCAGACAGAAAGGGAGAAGTTTACTCAAGTTTAATTGGATTAATTAAGGAGACACAATTAAGAGTTCTTTTAATCTCAAAAGCAACTAGCAAGTTTCAGAGTTTAATAAACCATGGGTTGATCGCACATGGACTATTAAGATTCCACAGTGATAAAACCTCTTAATTTAAAGTTAATTTAAAAGCAGAACTAATTAATATTTATATAATAACATCATCAGCCAATCGGTGATCACTTCTGAGATCTCTTCTCACATGGAGAAGGTTAGAGCATTAATCACCACGCTTGCTCAAATTGGAATAGCGATTTCAAACTTATATGTTGTAATTATAAGTTCAGGTTCATAACATTTTCCTTCACCGTCTGTCGATGGTGTCTGAATTCTCTAAGAAAATGGTTACATATACCTCGAGAAAAATCACATTGGTACATGCCAGGTTTCGATTTTGCACCCTCATGCATGAGAGACTTACCTTTAATCTCTAGGAAATAACGACTTCCTTTAAATGAGATATATATGCTGTCTTATTTAGTATACCGTCTTATGTCTAAATACAAATTTTTCAGCTTAAGTACTTGAAGTAAGCTTACTGTTTCTCTAACATTCTTCAATCTTGTGCCTCCTTTCCACCATGATATGTTAGGTTTTGGTCTCGCGCCAACCGCTTGGCAGACTAATTCAGTACTCTGCCCCGCCACTAGAGGTCGCTTACCTCCTAAAAGCCTTACCCATAGAGGTCGTACTGTTGATAAAAGAAACTATTATAAACATATAGGATTTGTAATTAATTATTAATACAATATTTTTATTTTATATGTTGTTTATGAACTGACTATCACTCAAAATTAAAATAAATACTTATAATTAAATTCTCATCTACATTTACAAAGTATTTTATCTAGTTTCAGACTTCAGTGTAAAGTTTCAGTTTTGCTTTAACGTTAAACCAATAATAGTTACGAATTAGCTGTTCAAAACTATCAATTGTAATATTTATATTATACCAATTAATTAGTAGTAAAAAAGTATATTATTTTATTTCTGGTTTTAAAATATATTATATTTCGTCAAGAAGTTTGGTTTGTATACATTTTAAGGATCGATAGTTTAATCCAGCATTAATGAGAATAAAAAAAAATAGCAACAAAGAGTATTCTTGTAAAAAGAACAAGGTCTATAAATAAATTTATAAGTATAAAATTCTACTGAACAGAATTTTTGTACATAATTAGAGCTTTGCCAAGAAAAAAATGAAAAATCATACAACTATTTTTAATAGGCTAAAAACGTCATCGGAGAATATAACGACCTTAAGAGAAAAAAAAAGCTGCAGTTCAATTTAGGTTCTTATTGGACCGCAAATGATTCCAATAAGATTTGATGCTAAGCCTATTCTGAATGGGTTCGTTTCACAGCTGAAATATGGTTTTCGATCCTATAAGCATGATTGGCCCTAAGCGCCGGAACCAATAATAGCTTTTTATTATAAAAAAATAATGGTTACTATTGAAAAAGCACTTAAGTTGACGTCTCTCAATATAAATAAAAATTAAAAGTATAGATTGAGGACATTTAAGATTTTCGAAACATAGAATTAAATGCTTAACATTAATAATAATCTTTATATATATATATACAGGGTGACTGGTGAATTACTATCGATACTTGAGGACGTGATATTTGACGATCATATATGACAGAATAAAAATTAATATAACATAAATATTAATAAACTTCTGAGTAAAGTTAACCAAAAGTTATGTAATTAATTACGCATCGTATGAACACCCTACAGATTAGGTATACACACACACTCACACATAGGCGTTTGGCGGCGTGTTGTTGTATCAGCACGCCGCCGCACGCGTCCACACTTGGAACACTTGGAACGTGTCAACACTTTATTTATTTATACGGAAATTTTGTCAAAAATTAAGTGCCTATTTTTTTTACATAATTCGAATGAGAATCATGTACCGAGTATTCTCCTTAAATATTGATAGTAATTCACCAGTCACCCTGTATATTGAAAATCTTATTGTATTATTGACAAGATCTTTAACAATATTACCTAAAAGCCATCAAGCATTCAATAATAGGTAGCTATCCAGAAAATTTCCACTCAAGTAACAGAACAATTCAAGTACATATGTAATTCGATCGTTGACTGGGGGCGACATGCTTCAATATACACAATGCTATTAAGAAATATGAAGAAGACGTTTTATTAAATATTTTCTGTAAGATTACATAGATATATATTTGTAATTCAATATTGTAATAAATTTATCTATATTAAACATTTCTTTGAGTTAACCATTCAAAAGGAAAAAAGATGTATGTAGTTGTTGGTTAGATGTAAATTAAATGTTTGGAAAAAGTATTTAGGAATTAAGCTTAAATATCTAGCAAAACTTCTGAGTGTAAATTCAAACAATCACTCAAAATTATTCACACCTTCCAACAATAGAGATTTTGGATAATACTTTTATTGTATCAGGGATTAAAGGTATCTTTTGTTGAGCCGATTTAATCGAGGCTAAAAGACCATTCAATGCGAATCTTTTGTCTCAAAAAACTTTCCTTTTCTGACAACGTATTCTTAAAAGGTAGCTTATAGAACTATTTCTACTTTTAATAGGGGGCTTCTCGAAGTAATCCGAAGTTAAATAAAGAACTGTTTCTTTACACTGAATATTCCTCGGTTTAATTTTTTTATTTATTTTCTTTCTTTTGTCACTTCTTGGACTAGACTAAGTATAATGTAAGACTTATTAAGTGATAAACTTTATATTGCCTATTAAAACTTTATCAAATAATCTTTTATTTTTCATACAACAGGGAATATTTTTAGAATGTTAATCAATGTAGTTGTTTGAATAACAAATTAGATTACAACAAACTTTCATTGTATTATTTTTGAATAATATTTTAATTGAAAATTGTTTTAAAATCCTATCAACAGTGAAAATTTTATATTGTTATCAAAAAATCATTCACAAAAAATGATTTATTTTATCAAAATTAAATACGTACATAGTATCCTTAAATAAAAAATAAGATAAAAATAAAACAGACTTTATTAAGATTTGGATATTTTGGGATATCTGGTAAAGATGAGAATTTAACAAGGCTTATATCTTTATCTTCTTAAAATTTTTCTATATTAATGATAATAATAATATTATTTTGTGCGATACAGTTGTATATTGGGTTAATAAGTTACTAACAATAAAGTTTTACCATCAACAAAACACAACTTAAATTAGTTTGATTTATGTAATAAGATGATACACGTGAAACTTTGCAAGTTAAATCAAACTTCTATAGTAAATCAAAAAGTACAAATAAACCAACAAAATAAGACAAGATTTAACATTTATAACAAGAATGATTTTTCTCATTCCGTAATTAGTATCAAAATATTACTGTTCAGTACGTAATAAACTAATAAATGAAGTATAATAACTATAATATAAAGTGTTTATAAATATTATTTTAAAGTACAGAAATTTATACTCGATAATTGCAATTACATTATTTTAGGGTGAACGAGGTTTATCAAAGGTGCAACAATTCCTATATGTCATTAAGATGAGTAAGTCTCATTCTCAAATTTTTTCTTTAATGAGTGAAAATGCTCACTAGGAAGTACGATAACTCACATCCGCAATCATTATAATTCAATTTACCTCAAAAGCGTCGGAGAGGTCTTAAATAATGACTCATAAGGCTGAGTTAATAAATATAAATATGGACTTTTATTCCATCGTCTTTGAGGCGACAGAATTATTATTATTACACGAAAATATTCATAAACTTACTGATATAATTGAATATAAATGTTCATAAAATTCTACAAAGAATGTATAAAATACTGTTATGATGAAAAAAAAAAAATATATAGCCGTCATATTGGAAAAATCAACTTACCAATGTATATGGAAATTCTACTAAGAACGTAGAAAATACTTATATGATACTAAGATTTGTATTTAAAAATATTCAGCCATTATGTTACTAAATTGAACTATCGAATATACTAATAATAAAAGGCTTATTACTTCAAACAAAAACATAAAATAAATGTGATAATACTTTATTCTCAGATGAAAATATAAGGGAATACTATAAAAATATCTATAACACTTTATATAGAACAGGAATATGAAATTCCAACGACAAAAACTCCGCTGTGTTCATAATAGGTACATACTTTTATTTCATTGCAATAAAGACGAAGTGTGAACAAAAATATTAGTGTGAATATTCTGATACACGTTATTTGTTTAATGTAGGCATATTGATAATATGGTCTTTACTATAATGCGCGGAAACTTAAGAAGTTAACAAATACACACACATACACATATGTATAATGTGTGTGAATGTGTGTGTATTTGTGTATATTTCGTCGTATATATATATATATATTTCGTCCTAAGTTAACAACCCTCCTATATGCCCATTTGCACGAATTTTTCTGGTAGTTACAAGGTGTAAGTTAATATTGTGTGCACTACAAAAGTTTTCTATTAAATCATCTACTACATATGATATGTTATGACGCTCACCAGAACTTCATGAATACTAAAATCAAATTCCAAATAACAGAATAAATAAATACTATGTTCGGGAATATTAATATATTGAAAAACGGTAAATGAATGTACCTGCTTTCAATGTTTGAATAAACTTCCATACTGATACGGTATATAATATGTAAGAAATAATTTTTTTGAACATACACAAGCATAAGTATATTACATGATATGAAAATATTCATAATAAACACTGCTTGATTAAAAAGTATGAGGTAATATTACTATAACTTCAAAAAGCATTGGCATAAATCTTAAGACACCGTTTGGATAAAAAAATATATATTATAAATGAACTATACAAATATAAATTTTGATAGCATAATCGTATTTATTTATTTAGCAATAGAGTATATAATCCTAAAACAAAAGAAAATAGAACTCTCAGAGTCATTTGTCTTGTTTTGTATAAGAAATAGGACAGCCTTAACAAACAAATTTATCTTAAAACAGCTGGGATTTGAATTATATTGTGGATAAGCAGAAAAAGAAGTTGAAGAAAATATAAATTTTTTATTTCTTTGTGAACTTTAAGACTCAAATCGAATCTCAATACATTCCGAGAAACAGATTCTTGCAAGAAAATTTTTTCAAACAAGTCTCTGTTTTTCTATTATAATAACCAACGAAAGATTTCAACAGATAAAAGAAACTCTTGTAATCCGATACACAGTTACAAAAGTATTTCATTATATTAATATGTGACATTATTTAAATATGAAATTCTTTCATGCATGCCTTAATAAATCCATTGTGAGAAATATTACAAGCCTTTGAGAACGCGGTATAATAGTGTATTGTTTGAAAAAAATTCATTACCTTAAAATCTGCTTCATTTTAATAGTGTTCATTTCAATAATACACAAAAAGTTTGATATGAAAAAAAACTCGAAATTTTTCGAAGACAACATAGAAAAAGCGAATAATGTTGTTTTTAATTTAAAAATAACATAATTTTACTGGAATAAGATTTTATAGAACGACTTTTTAATAAATAAAAAAAAAATCAGTTTGACTTGTATACACGCATTGTTGGGAATTTGTACAGAAATAAAGTTTATACACATTGTTACACTAAATACTTGTATACATACTTATACACACTCGTAAAAATATATGAATTAGTTCACACCTAACTTATATTTTCACTCGATACAAATGGGTACAATTTAATCGAGCGCAGCGCTAGAAATAATTCTACGCTATTAAATCAACAAACCAGAAAATTAAAGACGCCGATACAAAGCTAAATTAAAACACCAAAGCAATATTTCAGAATAAAAAAGGGAAAGAACAGTAAACTATATCAAGTTGTCAATTAAAAAGTTCCGCAGATTAACATCTTGCGGGTTATAAATGGCTTGATTATTGTCCTTTAGATTTATGATCGTGAATAATTCCGCGCCTAGAGATTTCTCAGAAACATCTTTGTTTATACCAATTTAACGATTTATTCATTTATTTGATTTCGGAAGTACATAGTTATCGTCTTTAAATCGAACGATTTATTACTAAAAATATGGATTCATTAATAAATATGAACGCAACGGAATGTGTTACTTTTGAATCTCCGGTATGGTTATCCAATCGGAATATTATTTCAGATTCATTTGTTTCAACTTCAAAATCTGTCAGTTCCAAAAAGAAATAAAACTTATTATCGTACATCAAGAAGAAATAATCCAATGAATATTTCAATCATTTCAATTTTCTATATAATCTTGACACTCGCGATTGATTTTCGTCAAAACAAGATATATTGTAAGGAAAGTATATAAAAGTAAGGATAGCGGAAACACTCTGTGGACTATCCCTAAACCAATATATTATGGATCTGTTACGATATTGACATGGTAAGTCCGTTAGAAAGGGATAAAAATACTAAATAAAGATGTTATAGAAAGAGACAAACGATTGCCAGTCATGTGGATTAAGGGCAAGATGAGGGGAAATATCGTGATAAGAAAAATATATTAATCTGATATTATTTCTAGTTCACTAATTGATACTTATATGGTTCTTATTGTTGATGTCAAGATAACATCTTTGTTTTATTTGCAAGAAAACTAACACGTTGATTTTGTATACATATGTATGTATGTTATAAAAAGATTTTACTTACAATTCACGTCGATTGACACATTCTCGGAGAGCGGTGTTATGGTCGGGTCAGTAACAGCCTGCAAAAAATAACAATAATAGTATTAAAGTAATAATAAATATATTATCATTGATTACAGAAAATATTAATAATATAATATAATAGGCTTCACATATTTTAACCTAGTTCAATATCAAAACTATTTAAACTTAACAAGATTATTACAAAGCAAGTAAGTCTATCTTTATAAAATTTTATTTCAACTAAGTTTTAAACATTAACAAGTATAAAGCAAAATCAAGGAAAAATATGTTATGTACTATCTCGTTCCTTTGAAGCTTAAAATGAATGAGTTTTTTTTTTTCTTTGAGTGTATAAAAAAATAAGGAAACAAATCGACATTTAATGTCTACAGATGCGCTATAAAATAACATGAGGTACATATTTTCTTAAAAAAAAAAATACCTGCAGCGAAATACATCAACTTTCATAAATAATTGGAAAATAAAATTAAGTAATGTGTTAAAACACGGAAATGTATGACGACGGTAATTTAAACACTTTTTTTATTCGCTATAGAGAAACGTATAGTCCAGTCATTATAGTAAGTTCACCTCGGAATTCGAGATACCCAGCTGTAAGTCTGTAAATAGTTGTATATTCTCACCCTAAAAGTTGTCTCAAAACCTACATATGGTAGGGTGTAAGCAACTATTAAATTTTTATGGTCAAAGGTCACAAAAATCGGTTTTTTTGCGCTTTTTTGGAAATATCTCATTTCCTATGGGTTTTTTGCTATTTGTATTTATTATCAATATTGTAGAATACTAAATTCTCTACAAATTTTGTTTCAAATTTTTTTTTATACGGTGTACCGTTTTCGAGATAGAGGGCAGAGAGCGCGGTCACCGCATCACTTTTGTGGTTATACGGAAAATGGAGGGATATTGCACCGTTGCCAGAGTGGAACGGTTATCTTGAGCAGCTCACTAAAAATGAAAAAAATTTTTCAACATCTCAGGTTATGTTTCTTCCTTTTATGTATCATCCTGCCAGTAATGTCAACACAATTTACGCAACTTTACTTTGCGCTCTCGATATTGCCAAGTCACACGGACAAAAAACGTGTGTAATTACTTTTGATCAACCCCTCTACTCTAAAGCACGTGAAATGGTAGGTGCGTCAGATTCTAGCTCAAACTTATGTAAAGTCGTTGTGAAATTAGGAGGATTCCATATGCTCATGTCTTTTCTTGGAAGCATAGGATACATAATGGATCGAAGTGGCCTTAAGGAAGCTCTTGCTAATAAAATATACGCACCAAATTCTGTTGACAAGATGCTGAACGGTCACGCTTACTCAGGAAGCATCAGAGGCCATATATTGGTGCGACTTGCATTATCAAAGATCATATTTGAAGACATGAAGATTGAAGATGGTACGTTGGATGAGTTAATACAGCAAATCACTTCTCGAGATGTATCCTACTCCAACGTAGAAGGATGTATGGATTACTCATTTTTTTTTTCAACATTTCTAGACAAACTGGATGATCATTGATTTATTGATAGTTCATCAACTATATATGGCGCGTTTTCGACCGGAGGCACTGGTTGACCTGAAGTGATGCGGTGACCGCGCGCTCTCCGCCCTCTATCTCGAAAACGGTACACCGTATAAAAAATTTTTTGAAACAAAATTTGTAGAGAATTTAGTATTCTACAATATTGATAATAAATACAAATAGCAAAAAACCCATAGAAAATGAGATATTTCCAAAAAAAGCGCATAATACCGATTTTTGTGACCTTTGACCATAAAAATTTTATAGTTGCTAACACCCTACCATATGTAGGTTTTGAGACAACTTTTAGGGTGTCAATATACAACTATTTACAGACTTACAGCTGGGTATCTCGAATTCCGAGATTCTTACCTAATTTAAGCTTAAATGACTGGACTAGTATTCATTTTGTTGACTTGAAGCTATGTTTATTTCGATATATTCTGAATAACATTTATAAAATCCAGTCATTAAATTCGGATTTCAACAGCTTTAGCTGGAATTTATCACCAAAAATCGATAAGAATTAAACAACATATGAAGTTATATAAATATAGGATCGGAAAAGTGATGAAGATTTATTATTAATAAATATTTTTATAATATTAAATATTCATTTAAAAGTTGTCGTTTATGTACATACTAATAGAAATATGACAAGAATTTTTAATAATAAACAACAATAAGGTCTAAGTCTGCGATTGTATCATTCAGCTTGTAGGTTACGTAAGAAAAACTGATCGTAATTATGTACTTGTAGTATTCAATCCAAAGATTTGTTAATATATTTCTTTATGGTAAAGGGGGCAACCGTGCAGATGGCCTACGTGATGGAGGTAGTACCGTCGCCCATTGACATCCACAACATAGTAAATAGCTCATTGTTTTGTTTTTCATACATATCTTATTTATATTACTTATATTAATCCTATTTATTAATTATACATACCTGACACGTGATATCGGTTCCATAATCAGACCTCTGTAGCGTGAATGTAACAGCGGCTCTTGCCTCTGAATTAGCCAGGAGTGCGTGTGACTTCCACCAAGACACCCTCGCTGGAGGCCGACCTAATCACACGAGAACTGGTTATAAAAGAATTGATAGGTCTAAGAAGACTGCGCTTAGATAATAGTTTGAAAGATGAGGTATTACTCTAATTTATATATGAAATATTTTGTTTAAAACTTTAGACTTTCTGCAGTGATTAAAATATCTAAAGCTTAATTTTTACTTAACATTATTAGCGATCATATTCAGAAATAAAAAAGGTGAAAATGTCTCAGTATACGAGACTGGATATTATTTATTTTTGTGTGTGGTATCTACGGACAAGTAACTACAAAGTATTATCTACACTTATTATCTATGACATAGTTTCTGTCGATACTTTCTGTTCTGTTATAACCTACTTAACTATACAGTCAAATCGTAAATAAAATTTAAATTTAAATGAAGTCCACTCAATGTGCACCCAAAAAATACAATAAGCAAGCTGTAAGCGTTTCTCAAAACATGCGGTTGCCTAATTTTTAAAGGGGAAAAGATAAAACAATTCACGGAACAGGAAATGAACTGCGAATAGGGATATAAAAACCGTAAAACAAAGGGTTGCTTTTAAGTGCTTCAAAAAATTGACATAAACCCTAAAGTTGCGAGAGAAAGTAAAGCGACACTCAATTAGAAAAGCGGCACAATTGAAGACATTTCGATTTATTTACGGCAAATTTGCTTCGATGTTAATTAAACTGTGAATTCATTGTCGTGTCATGATATTTCTGAACAGAGAGAGCGTCGTAATTTGATTCGATTGGACGCCGCAATACACGAATCAATTTTCAATAATTCAGTAGAAATTTTCATTATTATTTCATAAAAGACTAATAAAATGATTAAAGAATTTTATCGAAAAGTATCGTATACAAATCTCTGCAGTTTAGAAGTTTTAGCGTATTAATGACGTAGAACTTAAGAGATTTCAATATTTCATCAAAAACCGCTGCCTCCTATCCTATCCTCCTATAGTTGGCCCTAATTCTCTTCTATAGATTTAACGTTTTCGCCAAACGAACCCTTAAAACAAAGGTGCGTGACGTTTGGAAGGGAGTAAAAACGAATTTAGACGATGGTGCTCGGGTTTAATTCATATGGGTAATTGTTCAGCAAGCGGTGGGCTCTTCCGACCCCTATTGTAAGCATGCTCCACAACCTGAATTGTTTTCTAATTACCACCAGAGAATCAGGAGCGATTAATGTTTGAGGTTTATCGTCGTGTTTGTTCTGGTACGAAAATTATAATTAGAATTTTGTATAACTTCGCAACAAGAACATCAGTATTATCGAAGTTTGAAGAGAATATATATGTAGAACCAATCATAAATTGAGATTTAACATATCGAATACAAATCGCCAGTGAGGCAACTAATCCACAGTATCTATCAAAGTTACTCACCTCCAACGGCAACGCATGTTAGATTGACTTCAGTCCCCTCATCATATGGACCGAGTACTCCGCCTTTGATCTCATCACCTTCTTGATTTAGAATAATTAAACGTTCCGGTGGTACTGCGGATCAAACATAGCTGTGAACTTTGAGATTCTGATGCGCTATCAAATAATTTATAAAGAAAATTCAGATTACGAGAAACTTGTAAGGCTTTTCCAACTTGGTTATCAGGATACGTCATTGAAAATTTGACTGTATTACTATACAATATAGGATAACTTTAAAAATACATTTATAGATCTATTATATATTCTTATATTTATAATCAAAATTGTAAATGGAATTCATAATGAATTAATTTAATTAGAATTAAAACAAAATTCTGTGAAGTATCCAATTTCTGAACATTTCAAACGTTTGTTTCGTTTCAAAAGCAATTTAGATGTAGCAATATCTTCAAAATCAATTAGAAGGCCAATCAACTGTCCTAAAATGAGATGTCTTTGTTTGCACACAAATTAAAAATGTTTCTAAGATGAATTATTTTCTGTTAGAAAATGTTTATTGAAATTTAAGCCTTGGGCAATACGAAATTAAATATTCATCTGGCAAATAACATTGGAAGAGAAATGAATAAAATAAAGCGATTAGTAGTTTCACTGAACCAATGTAATCAGCGGCTTATACCAGAGCTTCGGATCGTTCTTATTTTCGAAATTTAAAGGGAGATTCGTTATAATAAAACATTTATATTAAATAAATAAAAAGTACTTTAATGAATTGCGGTTATCTAGTTTGTAAATTACTTACTGAGTACAGTGAGGTTTAATCTCGTATTCTTGGTGGGTGATCTGATGAAATCCACACGACATCTGTACTGCCCACTGTCTTCAGGCCTAAAGTAAAAATATTTTGCATTAGGAATATAATTGAGTTCAAAATGAAATTTTAAACTCTTAAATATTACGTCTCGTTTTATATTTATTATTAGCAACTCATTTTGACGTCCCGCGAGAGAAGACCCCTTTTCCGAATGACTAGTTTCACGTATTTTGACTGAGCATTGGTGCATTAAGGTGAAATAATTAAGTTTACTTCTGAATCCGACTTATATATATAAAAAAAAAATATTTTTTTTAACTTAATAAGAGACAAACCATTGATGAAATTCTTTTTTAAGACAATTACAATACTACAATAAGATTCAGTTTCTTTTTATTTTTTAAATTTCTTTTTAAAAACTTTTTACGCAAAATGAGTATCATGTACTTCTAGGACAACGAAGCAATACTTAAGCTGTTGTTAAATAAAATTACTCTCAAAACTACATCACATTCTTGTTATAATTTATTTCTACAAAATAAATACCTTGTCATCGCTTTTAGCTGGAATAGCTTAATGGATTTAAATGGCACTTTATACAAAACAAATTAAGCTTTAAAATAATTTGTTGCAAGCTGCGAACACAGATATATCTAATATATAAAATTCTCGTGTCACAGTTTTCGTGCCCATACTCCTCCGAAACAACCTGACCGATTTTGATGAAATTTTTTGTGCTTATTCGGTAGCTATGAGAATCGGCCAACATCTATTTTTCATCCCCCTAAATGTTAGGGGTAGTCCACCCCTAAATTTTTTTTTTTTTATTTTTTAGACAAAATTTTTAATTACTATTTTTTTATGATACAACGTACAAAAATACATACAATCCTAAATTTTCACCCTTCTACGATCAACCCTTATTTTTTAATAGCTATTTTAGTAATTTAATCATTTTTCATCTCCGGTCGATAACTGATCAATCGTCATTTAATAAGTTATCCCCGCCAGATATCTACAGGTGTCACTTCTGACCCAGTAAACAGCACGGAGTAGGGATGAGAACGAAGCCGGTCTTCTGTTTCTCTCACACAATTAGACTTCTCTCACTCCCTACACAGTTGTCGGCCATCGTTATTGTTTGTGCATCAAGTGTAGTAGTAACGTTGACAATTATTATTTTGCTAGCTCAGTGTAACTCTCATATTAACATTACATAATCATTCCTAATCACTTCAAAACACGGAGATTTATGGCTTTAATAGGTAAACTCCAAAAATATAAATAAAAAAACGTAACAGATATTTCTTGATTATAGGGCGAAACGAAGTTCGCCGGGTCTTCTAGTGTTGCATAAATGTATCTTATGAATATCATCTAGTGGTGAAACGTTCCTGTATTATAAAAGATTGAATAAAACATTTAAGACAACGCAGTTTAACGTGAGAAGAAGCGACGATGTAGTTCACCTCGAGCCTAACTTAATTTGAGATTCTAGACGAGTTATTACAGCTTCTTGACGTCAATAACTTGATATTGAGGATCAGAAGTTATAGTCTTGATTGAAAATTCAATCTTACGTTTAGAGATCGATCTAATCTAAATAGGTTTTACATTGCTATGTATAATTAATAGATTGGTAACTTCAGCAATATAATTAGCGTACCCATTGTGGTCTATGTTCAAACACTTCGTTATTTTATCCAATGATATTGATCTTCTAGCTTCTTGAAACATTGCGAATATCTTTAAATACAAATAAACTCCAAAAAAGAACAATGGAGATTACCAATCAAAGACAATCTGATAAGTTTTGCTGAAGTGCGGTTTTCAATCTGCTTTGTCAAATATTTTGTTAGTAGATACATATTTGAACACGAAAATATATCAGAAAATATTTTCTACAAGTGTTGCGTAAACTTTCTAAAGATAATCTTGTATCTATTATGTATGATCTGATCTAAAAAAGGAAACGAAGCAATTCTCATTTATTAATTAAGATGATAGTACATTTTCATATCCAAATATAATAATATCGTAATAAGGTGACTAAAATTTATTTATATTATTTCATTACCACTACGAAATCAATTAATTATTATCAATAATAGTACCATAAATATTAATTTAAAATTTATAATAAACAAATTTATACATAATCTAGCTAGTAGTTTTAAATATAACACTTCTCAAATTTTCTGCGATAACAGTATATATATATGTATGTTCACTTCATTCACTTCATAAAACGATATTACATCTCATAAACGTAGAAGAAAGAACGGTTCATCTTCTAAATTATAGAGCATACTATTGCTTTTTTGTAACAACACAGGATTCTTTTGATTTAAATTAATATAAATTTACCAATAAAACTTGTTTATCAATTAAAACTTCTAAATTGTATTGGATGAAGCCTCAGCAAGCCACAAGTTCGTTTCGTGATAAAATTTTACCGACTCCATTTCAAGTTATCAAAAATCAATACACAGAGTGAGGTTGCGATAGTGATATCACTGTTTCGATTTCAAATATCACGGATACAATATGATTGATATTAAATAATTACACTAATATTTTAATTCCAATATATCTTGGATTAGTTATATGAAGTTGTATAGTTTCTTTACTAGCTTAACTTTATTTAAAAAGGAAAATAATATTTGTATTATCGAATAAAATTTTATATAATGTTGTTGGCAATGCGGCTGCAATATCTCTCTGTTGCAAAATGTCATTCAACGTAAGGTGAAATGTCTGTTATATCATCAAATCAAATATAGAATACCTACATTATAACCAGAACAATTTTTTATTTATTTTGATGTCGCAGGGAAACTCTTTTTATGAGCCGTCCAACCGGCCTTGGTGGTTACCAGAACTTATTTAATTCAAAAACGAGTTGTGTTATTTAGCAAAATGAATGCTTTATTATTTGATTACTACATTTGAATTTCAGTACAAACAAAACTAAATCAAAATCTTCTTTGTACTTTTACATATAAATTTTTAAGCATCTATGACCAAATAATTATTTCTCATAAAAGAAAATTAAAACTGATTATTTAGTAAAGGTAGACCATGAAATTTTTAACAAAGGTGATATTTATAGACTCGAAATAGTATCAGTGGTAATAAAATATATGTATAACGATATCTAAGATTTTCGCTTGTATTCATTTAAATGAATCAAGTTTACGCGTAATACTACGCGTTTCTTATTTATTTTTTCAACTAAAGACAACGACGTTTCTATGTTTACAGCAACCGTGACAACGGGCAGAGGAGATGAAGATGCGTATCTAGTTATAAAAGTTATAAAGATTAAAAAAGAATAGTTAGAAAGTATACGAAAAACGTTAAATAAATGTAAAAATATCTTCTTCTATCTGGCAATTTCCCGGCTATAGCCAGGGTCTGCCTTAAAATGTTGTGAATAGTTTTTTGGCTAATTATTTTTTACGACCGGCCGCCTGCCTGACATCAACACTTCTTATGGGAATGCATTAATCAGTGATGTCTAAATATCTCAATAGATATTTAAGGCCAGGTTTTATGCAGTAATTTCCGAGGCCTGGTAAAAGGAACAGATGTTTCAAAACCAGTAAGACTGCTTCCCATAAAACTCAACGTGAAACGCCATAAAGTTACTGAGTTGACCGGACGAACTTTAAATCACAGTTTAATTTTAAATCATTCGTTTTAAAAATAAAAAATTAAATGTGCATATAAATAAAAAACGGATTTAATATGTATATGTTAATGTTTGTCTATAAACTTAACTATTATAATTATATTGGTAAAAAAATATTTAAGCTGCAAGATTAAATAGAGATGAAAAATCTTATTAGTTTGTGTAACAAAGGAAAATGTGAGCTAATTCAGTAATTGAAAATGGTTGAACTGAACGCAAATTTATTTTAAAAGAACTAACATAAAAGATGTTTTACGCTTTTCAATTTCACCACTCTAATTACGCCTAGGGGCAAAATAAATTGATAATGAGAGAATATTGAATATTAAAATGGGAATATTGAACTCTTAGGCGGTATAATATTACGTAATTATAGATAAGGCGTAATTATACTATTTCATACGCGTTTGAAGTATAATCACTTTCCAATATGAATGCCTTTGAAAGACGATATCAGTCTCAAATCTATACTAATATTATAAAGCTGAAGAGTTTGTTTGTTTGTTTGAAGGCGCTAATCTCCGAAACTACTGGTTCGAATTGAATAATTCTTTTTGTGTTGGATAGTCCAGTTATCGAGGAAGGCTGTGGGCTATATAACATCACGCTACGACCAATAGGAGCAAAGATATAATGGTAAATGTGTAAAAAAACGGGAGAAATTATTTCATCTTTGAAGCCTTCCGTTGCGTGCGCCGTGAAAACGGTTCAAGATACACAAAAAATATGTATTAAAGAATAATAGCTCTTTTAATGATCTAAAAAACAGTCCGCGACAGTATACGTCTATCTTTTAAGATTAACTCACAAAAACCGTTTTTAAGGTACCTAATTTGGTCGAAATAATTTTATAAAATCTTTATTCAAATAAACAAATAAATATGTTGTTGGTTAAGAGTACTTCATTGTGAATTTAAAAAAAAAAACATAGGTTTTATGGTGAAAACTCTACGGGAACTCGACCATCCGGAAAACCCCTCAAGAACGGGAACTATGTGGGAAGAACCAAAAATCTGCCGGAAGTCACTACTCCACGCGGACGGAGTCGCGGCAAAAGCTAGTAATTTATAAGCCTTTTGGACAGTTTCAGAATATTTTAGTTATAATTACGATGAAACTTCAGACAATAGTTTAAAAAAAAAAATATAGAATATTAATTTGTATATAATAGAGCACTTTAATTATATCTTTACTTGTAAGTTTTCAGTCTATTTTATAATATAACTATGCTACATATTAAAGACTATTTGTAATTGATTTTCTCGTTAGTATCTAAATATAGGACAGTTATTGTAAAGTTTTTGGTTTCATACTTATATAATATATAAGTATATCAAGACTACATAATGAGATCTAAGACTTTCACGAGTATTCATTTAAATGAAACCAATACCATTCGTATTACTGCGCGAATTTTATTATTTTAAAATACATAATCCCGACGTGTAGGTTACTTTGCAGCAACTGTGGTCACAGGCAAATGGTCATCTCGTCTGCCCATTTCATTTAAAATACTTGACATATCTAACATAAGTAAGGGATAAAAAGTCGCCACAAATTCTAGGCTACAGTCAAGGTCAGTTATTAATTTGCAACGCAATACCGAAAATTTATTTCAAAATGATGTATTTGCGAATAAAACGATACTTCTGGGTCTCCATACAAAAGTATTTGCTTTATTGAACAAAAAAAGATGTTATTTTAATAAATATTGTAATTTATAATCATGAAATCGTCTCATTGCTTAAAAAGATGAAAATTTTAACAAGTAGCTATATGTACTAAATCTTAAATATACATTTTTAATGCATTATTGATATATGTACATATATAGCTTTATAAATATTTATACGACGACGAAAGTAAAAGTTTTATTTCCAACACTCACTTATTGAAATTTGAAAGTAAATAGCTAACTTCAATAATTATTGGATAATAGCAACGTTTGTTTGTCAGCTCCATATTAATTAAACCTTAGCGCTTTTTTCTCTATTTCAGCTTAGGAATAAAATTAGCATATTATTATTATTATATTCAATAGTTGTTTGGTTTCCTGTTATTTCAAATAATAAAATACTATTTATGTTTCATTAAATAAACTGAATTTAGAAAGGTAATAATCGATTCATATAATTTAATTTATTTGTATATACAATATGCGAAACATATTTTAATATCCACTGTAATATAACTATCCAAAAATACTTTCTAAGCACGAGATTGTATATGCTTCAAAATCAAATATATGAAAATAAACTAGCAGTGTTAAGGTTAAATGTTTCACAATACGATACTGTATATTTAAATACACATTTTAAATACGCATATGATAAATATGCTTGTTTTCAAGTAAATTAGCTATTAAGGTGCTTATAGCGTAACAACAGATGATTTGAAGAGTAAATTCGTTATTCGTTATTTTCAAATTACTCTCGTATTTTATTATTTTAAAAAACTACACACTCTATGTTACGGTTACTTTTAAGCAACCGTGATCACGAGCAAACGAGATGTCGCGAAATATTACTATAATTAAATGAATACTCGCGAAAGTCTTAGACCTCATTAAGTTACTTTTTTAAATTAATTAGTAAAGATTTTAAATTAAAATCCCATATTTAAATGCAATAAATTCGATAGAAGCCAATAATACTAATCAATAGCCAGCTACTATTTAAAGACCCGTGAAATGTCAACGGGTCTTAAAATATCATGTTCCGTGTTCCAGTTCCCATAGAAATTCAACAAAAACAAAAAACAAAGAATGCTGAATATCTTATTACGGATTTAAAGCTTAGTGTAGATCGAGACTGCCTTTAATGGATTATGAGGTATTCATTTATATTTATATTAATTTAATTATATTCATTATTTGTTTAAAAAATGTTAGAAAATTGTATCATACATATATGAAGAATAAAAAGATTTTAACCCAAATATTGAAATTGTTTAATTAAAAATTAAATTTAAGTTTTAATATTTGTATTAAGTACTTTAAGTATATGTATATACATTGCATTAATTATACTTTAAACAAATAATATTGTATTGTTGTTTTGAATGATAAAAATAATATTCATCTGAAACCATTGGTTTAAAATTGTTTTTGGTGATAAAAATAATGTTTAAACATAAAGTTGGCTATCATAAATATCACTCGGCTAAGGAAAGTATTTACACATATACACGTATTTCTCAGAATCGTAAGCTTAAAATGATATACATGAGACATATATTCAAAAACGTATAAAATTAAAAGAAAATATCTATGAAACAATATTTTAATTATCTCAAACACATTTATAACACGACGGAATAAAGAATGTACATATTTTAATAATTTAAAATGAAATAAATTTAAAACAATTATTTAAATACACATATATACATGTCGTATATATTCCTATGTTATATATTTACCTGAGTTTTGTTAGAAGCAGCACGGCAGGCGTTGTGCTGGTGCGAAAGGTGGCCCTGGAGCCAAGAGTAGTAGGATCCGACCAGTGTGACGTCACACCCTCCCTGTTATCCAACCTGAGAACAATAAATACGACGATATAAATACATATCGTTTATACATCCATAACTTCTTAAAGATCGTTTAATTGTTAAGAAATAATTAATGAAGTAAGACAGTTATATAATTGTTAAAACTAAACCACAGTAACGTATATTTCTATTTAAACATTTACCTTTTACCATTTTTGGACTATAATTACGCCAAAATTACTTTACTTTTAAATAATCAATGGTATTCATATGCTTGTTTCAAACATTAGTAAAATTAAACGAGCCAATAGTAAACGGTAGTTAAGTAATAAACACTTATAAGAAGATCGTAAAGTAACATTTTTAATAGTTTACATTCATTATTCATTGATACGTGGGTTATAAGCATAAATAAAATATATATCACATGTTAACTACACAGCTGTCATTACAAACAAACCGACAGTTATATTTCAATGTTAGGAGAAGAACACAACGTACTAACTTATATGTTATCATTTTAATGACATTAGATACTTGTCATTTAAGCAAAAGCCATGAATTCTAATATGTATTATATTCAAATATTTTAATATACTTTGTAAAATACACACTGTATGTTATATTCATTAAATACAAGTGGCAGTCTCATTTAAACTATACCATCAATTTAGACTTTATTTATTATCATAATATAAGGTAGACGTCAAAGTGAAATGTTCTACAATAAACCAATCATGTGTTATGGCGCTTATCCCGCATACCGACTGTCAGACATTTTAATATCTTAATCAAGCCTTAAAAGGCGACCGTGATCTGAAGATTTGTAACAGAAAGTATTGTGGGATTAACGAATTCAAATGATATTGATATGTATTCGTGATGACTATTTTTATTTTTTGTTATTTGATTATATCTAAAACCTAATGGGATCATTACGTAATAATGGTCCCTTATGGACGTTTTTGTTCAAAATTTTTACAAGACAATGACCTTTGACATAATCTGGTTCTTCATGAGTATTCATAAGAGGGTAACTATTGAATAAAGTATATACATAATCTTTGTGTAATATATGTATGTATGGAAGAGAAATTAATCAAGTCCATATAAAAGAACCTTCGCAAGGATATCATATATGTAATATATTAGTATGTATATATTTGTCCAATATTCAGCAATTTCATAGATAAAATTTATTTCGACATTCTCATTTATTATGAAATCATAATTTAAAAAAAAAACTACCTGATACCGCTTTATGAAAAGAAATTTTCATATTAATTATTCCGTAAGATAAATCAAACTTTCTCAAACCTCAAATACTTTTAGAAAACTAAGATTTTTAGACAAAATTAATATAAAATAAAAATTTATTTCAGTTTTTATATTAAAATCTTTTATACCGGTTACAAAAAACATTGAATGGTAACTAGTAATCTGTTGTAAAGCAATAAGATTTAGTCTCAGGCTAGACTAAACATGTAATTACAGATCTATAAGCATCCACATATGGTGAAATGATTGCATAGTTATTAAATATTCTATAGAAACACATAGAATGATATACAGATTTACACCTAAACTTTTGCGTATTAGGACATATTTTTTGTAATCTATATATTCATTCCTTTATAACATTTATTACAAAGTCATTAAGTGTCATATAATCTGAGTATAGTAATTCTGGAGCGATTTCGGTCGCGTCAGACAGTAAGTTTTAGGGAAGAATAATTTTCTTATGGATTTACGTTAAAATTTCATGGATGCGAAATCATCAGATATCCCAGTAAGGGCGGTTAAGGCGTAATAATATTTTTATGTGCTACTAAGAATTTGATAGCGTTGGTTTTGGTGCTGAATTTTAGAATCGCTAACTGTTGAACTTTATGAGAATTTTGACGCAATTTTGACGTTTCGGTTACTTTACAGCAACCGTGATCACGGGCAGACGAGATGTCGAAAAATATTAGTTTCATTTAAATGAATACTCGAGAAAATGTTAGATCTCATCAATTTAGATTTCACATTATATTATGTTGATATTTAAATTTAAATACATGTCTTAATATACTAAAGTGATTATAATCTTATATGGATGTACGGTATATGTGGGCACAAGTATGAAATAACATTTACCTAACAGTTGGTCAAACTGAATCCTTCACGGGAAATCAAACTATATTTAGTCATATATATACAAATTTATTAATAAAATTAAAATACAGTGTTATTTAATACATTTGATGATACATTATATACATGGAAAGTCTACAAAATAATACGGAAGGAATTCGAATACGGTATCGTACGGATGGCGGCATATTTAACCTTGCTAGGCTTAAATCCCACACAAAAGTATCACATGATCTTATTACTGAACTCATGTATGCCGACGATTTGTGCTTTGTAGCGGATACTTCTGAAGGATTACAAGACCTTATCTCGAGACTTAATAGCGCATGTGTTAGATTTGGTTTAAAAATTAGCATCGCAAAAACCGAGGTGATGGCTATGGGTGCCGAAAATCAAGCTCCATTCAATCTACACATTAGCGGAAATAAATTAAAACACGTAGACAAATTTCGTTACCTTGGTAGCAGCATAACAGCCAAAGGCGACCTTGATTTGGAGATCAGTAGTAGACTTGGCTCTGCCATGGCTGCTTTTGGTAGTCTCCGAGTCCGAGTATTCAGATCCCATAACATCAAATTAAGTACAAAAATACAGGTATACATGGCGACCGTACTGCCCATCATCTTGTACTCATCTGAGACGTGGTGCCTACATCGCAGACAAATACGCACGCTTGACAGATTCCATCTAAAATGCCTCCGCGAAATTATAAACATTAAATGGTCGGATCGGATTCGCAATACCGATGTTCTTCGACGAGCTAATGTCTATGGCATTGAGGCATACTTGATGCAGCGTCAGTTGCGTTGGTGCGGACACCTTGCGAGAATGTCCGACGAGCGAAAAGCGAAGCGCATCTTCTTTTCTGAACTAGGGTTTGGTAAGCGGAAACGCGGGGGCCAATACTTGCGCTTCAAAGATGTTCAGAAAAGACACATGAAGAGCTGCGGCATTGAACCGTCTCGCTGGGAATCTCTCGCTGAAAACAGATCTGGATGGAGACGGCATGTACATGAAAAAGTACATGCATTTGAAGATAAAAGAAAACTAGAACTGGATCTCAAACGCGACCGAATAAAAGCGCGTCCACCTGCTAATATAACATACAATTATGTAAATGGTACACTGACTTGTGACGCTTGTGGTCGCACGTGTAGTGCTAAGATTGGGTACCTTAGCCATGTGAGGTCGCATCGCAGCTCTTAAATATTACCTATGTAATCTATAAAAAAAAAAAACAAAGCTAAGTCACTATAGCCGAATACGGCTGGGTAGATATATATATATATATGAGTAAAATACTCAGTCCTTTCTGTTATGCCTTTTTCGTTAAAAAAAAAGAAATTAGGTACAATGACACCTATTCTTCTAGAATGTTCGTTAAATGTAAGCCATATCTTAAAATTTGTTACGTACTTGTAAATAAAAACATTATTCTAAGGTCATGAGTATTGGTCACTGAACTAATAAGACCTCCAAGTCGGCTACAATAGGTACTAAAAGAGGGGTCAATTCCGTCATTTATCTAGTCTAGAAAAGTCGTTACACTCACATGTTTTACATGTACAGTAATGAAATAGATTGATTCCAAATTATTTCTATCAAATTTATAAGATTTTTTTTGTGTTTTAATAATAATTATTATATTAGGCATAAGTAAAGAAATCCTTATTTAAATATCAATGAAACCTGATAATAATCTTTAGGTAACTATGATGTATAGACAAATTATGTTGAAATTATTAAAAAATGGAAATTACGGATACTGTTTACTAAATAATAAATCCTTTGTTATCCCTATATCTTAAATTGAATAGTTTTTTATTATTTCTTTATATATAAAAGAAATTCACATTAATTACACTATTTATAACTCAAAACGTCTGTACGGGTTTGGCTGGAAATTGGTAGAGAGATAGCTAAGTTCCACAAAAAAGAAAAAGGATACTTTACATACGATCAAAAAACAATAATAAATTGATATAATCCAAAATCTTCTTATTTACTGCCTTTATGGAGGAATAGAGTTCGCTCGGTCAACTATACATTTACTATCTTGACAGTAACGCAGACGAAGTCGCGGGCAAAAACTATTAATTAATATTCATAGAGACAGTTGCTTTTAGTATTAATTGCGATCAACAATTAAAATTACAAATTAATGATATATAACCTCTTTTTTTAACATTGGTTAATAAAAAGAAAATTACGATATTATCTTTGTATATAGATGGAAATCAAATTATCTTTCATTACCCTTATCTTGGTATTAAAGGGAAAAGTAGGGTGAAAACCAGGAGAAATCTCGTGCGAAACATATAGGTATAAAGTCTCCGTGCACTTAGTTAATGAAGTAGCCTTATCTTTATGATATCGGCGGTTGATAACAGAGGTCTAATATCGTATTTATATTAATATAAAATATGTAAGCAGAACTGAATAGAAACGTTTTTAAATTAACTAGTAATATTATGAATGAGAGAAGCTTTGTATTGGTATTATATACACACATAAGTATATTACATTCCTAACATACATACATATATATCTGTGTGTGTGTGTGTTAGGTATTATGAAGAAAAACAATTTTATAGCCACTACCAGATATATACATACATAATAATAATAATAAATTTATTCTCTCTTCACAAGATACTTGATACACATCATCTTATATAAATATACATTAGTGAGAGACTGGAGCCCGTGATGGGTATAGGAATACCTGTATTACAGGTCTCCAGGTCCCCACACCGCCATATTAACAAAGTGAGCTCTTATCATTAAACTGTTGTATATATGTTTGAGAGATTGTTTCAGTGTGTTAGAGTGTATGTGTGTGTGTGTGAGTGTGTGTGTATGTATGTATTAATGTGAGTGCCTACTTATAATAAGTTATGCAATTAGAGTGATAATCTATCACTGTTGAAGAATAGGGTTATAAATTGAAAATTAAGAGATTTCCGGTATTTTCATAGTCCAATGTTTTTAACCATTCGTCTACTTTTTGTTTGCAAGCCGATTTATTTAATGAATATATTCGTAAATCTTTATTTAACTTATTTTAAAGAACACTACCCAGAAAGCAATAAAATCTGTTGGAAAGCTTTAAGTGGAAGGTTTCAGTTCGACAGACATTGCCTTTCCTACATTTATCCTAACAAACAATCTAATATTCGTTGATAAACTGTTTGTGAGTGTTTTTTAAGAATTATGTTCAGTATAAAAGTTTGTCTAATGGTCAAAATGTCCCAGGTTTTATATAAAGTTTTTGTTTGTAGAAGAAATGGAAGTCCATCAGCAACCTTTAAAAGACATCTTTGCGCTCTTTCTGCCTCAATAAGGTGACTTTTAGCTACATACATATAAATAAACTAAAAACAAGAGAAGAAATGACGATTAATTTGTAGTATGTGAATACTAAATATGTGTTTTTGTCATTCAAAATTTAATGAACTAAAAGAAGTGCAAATATATTAATATTTTATTATTTGAGCCATCTTTAGTTCCGAAGAACCTTTTATAAGGTAATATTTGGCTTATATGTAAGTGTCTGAGTGTCTCAATGTATGCACTTAACCATTTATGAATAAAAAAAAAATATATGTATGCGAAGCAAAACATACTGAGGGTGACATGCAA